TGGCATGTATCTTTTTTGCTGTGTTTCCCTTGTACAGAGAATGGTCGGCGTCTTCTGCGACACACCCTGGCCTGTGCGCTGTCCCTCCTTCCATCTGCTGCACCTGCAGTCCGTCCTGCACCTCCACTGGACCACAATCGTGACGGGTGACTCCCTCCAGGTGGTTGAGGTGGTCTTCCCCCTCCACCGTCGGGCTTCCATTGCTGTTCCTTAAGTGGGGCCCAGCCTTATCGGACTGCTTTATCGCTACCCGTCGCCTCGGCCTTTGAGAGCGCGCCATCTCTAGAAAAGCTCTTCCACGTTCGTCATTGACAATTCTCTGTTCCTGTTGCAGAATACTCATCATCTTTTACACACACATACACTTTGCGTTCTTCTCTCACACACACGTACTACGTACGCGCATCTCCCCCCTTTTTTCTCTCCCCCTCTCTCCCACACAGAAAAAAAAAAAAAAACACACGCACACAATGGCCGACAAGTCTAAAAAGTTCCCCGACGTCGAGGGCGGTGGTAGTCTTATCCTGGCCTGGCAGATCAAGGGAAAGAAGGTTTTGGTCGTTGGAGGCGGCGAGGTATGTGGCTGCGCTTGCGATGCGCCCCAACTACAACTCCTAAGGTTGTTCGCGATGCTAATTTCCTCTTCCTCCACAGGTTGCCGCCGGTCGAATCCTCAACTGCCTCAATGCAGACGCCAATGTCACCGTCGTCTGTCCCGCCTCTGGCTTCAACCCCGAGGTCGCTCATCGCGTTGCCCGCGGCGAGGTCACACATGTCGACCGTCTCTTCGAGCCAACCGACCTCGATGGCGCCGACATGGTTCTCGTTGCCATTGACGACCCTGCCGCCTCTACAACCATCTGGAAGCTGTGCAAGGAGAGGAGAATACCCGCAAACATTGCCGATGTCCCTCCCGAATGCGACTTCTACTTTGGCAGCGTCCACCGCGACGGCCCCCTCCAGATCATGGTCAGCACCAATGGCAAGGGCCCGAGGTTAGCTGCCATCATCAGACGCTTCGTCGCCAAGCAGCTCCCCAAGAATGCTGGAAATGCCATTGAGGCCATTGGCACCCTCAGAGGCAAGCTGCGCAAGATTGCCCCCACCCCAGAGGAAAGTCCCAAGCGCATGGGCTGGTGAGTTACACTCAAAGATTCTCAACATTCATGTCTCGTCATGCTAACAGCGATTGATATTAGGATGACAAAGGTCAGCAACGCCTACGACTGGGGCGAGATGTGCGACCTCACCGACGAAGACATGGAGAACCTTCTCAGGTTCTATTCTTCCAATACCGTTCCCACCATCGACGACCTCATGTCCATGAGAGAGGAACCGGGCTTCCAGGCAGACCTGTTTGACGGATCCTTTGGCTTCTGCGTCGGCGCATAGACGACTTGCGTGTGTAAATATAAACGGATATGGGTGTTTGAGCGATTTTGGAGTCATTTGCATCGGCGGTCATCTTAGAATGCGTCATTGGCGGCATCACACGAGTTTTTGGGAATCTTGCATACAGGTCATCATCAGCAGTAGCAGCATCATCTTGGCGCAATATGGCACATCTACCTTCATGTAAATCTACGCGGAGGAATCAGGTTTGGAAACTCGAGAGAAAAAGGAGGAAGGAAGCTGCAGCCACGGCCAAGTTTCAGCTGGCTCTGGCTGTGGTCTGGTCAACAAGGAAAATACAAACATTGAACTCATGTCAAAACAATGTGCACAACAGCCGAGGCCTTTCATGGCTGTGAGTGAGTCAACAGCGCGATTTATTCTCGTGATGCATGAGGTTCCCCGCGTCAATTGGAAGACTTTGGGACCGCGTCCGACGGATCCACCGTCCGCTCCGTTCAGTGTTGTCAATGCATGACCGGCCGAGCCGCCGATGGGCCGGTTGAATGCGGCGTAAATAGAAATAAGGACTATCCCAAGACGGACAGGACTCGGTCAATGGAAGGCACACGAGAAGGGAGGAAACCCGGATGCGACGAAAGGAGTAATGCGCAAAGAGGCACAATTGCTCGAATAGGCGTGGACTTACAATTTGTGCACCATTGAGCGTCTGAACTTGATTCCAGTCGAAATGGACTTTGGTCGAAGTATTCCGGCAACGGCGCCTACGGCAGCTACAGGAAAGAAGGTACCTTCCGTGGGCGCCTACTAAGTTCGGTAAGGTTGCGACAGCGAATTGACACCTGCTCGCCAGGCAGATCGCAGCTGGCACCACTGCCCGCCGCCAGTCGCAACTTCCTCCTCGCACCCCGCGACAACCGTCTTGATCGCAAGACCCAAGAAACGACGACAAATACCCGGATATCGACCCAGAAAAGACCTTCTCACGCGTAATTTCACCTGTAGAACTCGATTCATCCGAGACATATGTTTACCCTCGCTGGATACTTCCGTTTCGACGCGTCAAGCATCGTCATTCAGCGCTCCAGCGGCCACATCCAGCACTGCGGATAGCTCGTCGCAGCCGCCCTCCTCCAATCCGTGGTCGATTGTGATCCCATCACAAGATGCCTCCCCGCCGCCGCAAGCAAGCAGCAGAGCCAGACGTCGAACCCGAACCCGACCGGCAGACCCCTTCATCCCTTGAGGATCGCGAACCCCCGCCGCCATTCTTCAACACCACCTTCTCTACACATCGCGCCTCGCCCCTCTACGTTGGCGCAAATGCTCTTAACTACCCCCGACTGCAGACACTTTCCCAACGACTGCGCGACACCCTAGTCGGAGATGTGGTCAGAGGAGTACAAGTCGGGCTCGAAGGAAGCGACAGCTCCTTGGGACGCGCTGGTCCGCTTGAGAAGGTCGGTATCCGCTGGGTCGGCGTGGATGCGCTCTTGGGCGGCGCCGAAGATGCCGACGCAGATCTCAGCCGAGACCTGAGCCGAGATTTTGGCAGCGATTCCGTCGAGGGAGGAAGCCAAGGCAAGAAGAGGGCTTTGGTGTTTGAGATGCGATACGAGAATGCGCTATGCACAGCTGTGCTACTGCCCTTGTTGACGAACACGACTCCAGACCCGCCGAACGGATTGCAGTCCAACGATAAGATCGAGATACCCGGGCTGCTCAACGGCACTACGTCTACGGATGATCGACACTTTCTGCATCTCCCGCTGCTGCTCCTGCGCATGCCCGCGCCTCTGAAGACAATCATCACCGACTTCCTGGCCGGCACCTTTGACTGTCGCATCAGCCCGATGAGTCTGGGCACAAAGAGCCTTACTGGGGCCTGGGAGAGGTGGATCCAGGACGCAGGTCTTCCGTCGAAAGGGCCCCTTGCCAAAGACATGGTTCTGACGCTGGGTTTTTACATTCCCCCTCCCGAGTCCGCCGAAGGTGAGGACAAGCAGGACCCGGAACCCCTTGGCCTCAAGGCTATCGACATCATCATCCCATCAGACGAGCTTGAACGGTTCACCAAAGAAGGAAGGGCTCTTGGCAAGGCAGTGGGCAGCAAGCGAAAGGCGTCCGCGCAAGGCTACGAAGACGATGCAAGGAAGCGGAAGAGGCTCGCAGGCGGCAAATCTGACGAGGGCTGGGCTTGGAGAGAGGAGGGCGAGAAAGAGCAACAGCAGCCCTTTATCGAAGCAATCGGCGCTTATTTGGACAAACACCTGGCATTGAATCTATTCCACCCTGGTGTGAGAGTCACCAAGATTGCCTGCGGTGGGTTCGTGTTGTCCGAGGGGCGAGTCAAGGTGTTTATGCCTCCCGGCGATGATGACGAAGTATTTGAGCCTGTGAAGCATCTGGTTGGAGACCTCATCGCCAGCGCTACCGGTTGAATGCGGTGCTGGCTCTCACATCAATACAACTTCCACTACGGCGGTTTCGGACCCGATATTCCAAAGCATGACCACTACCTTACCACGAGCCGATGACAGACAGGGTACATTGGAGTTTATCCATCAATTGGGTGTTTAGAGGGGTCTGTCTATGGCATCGGTCAAGTGGAACACGACTCCCCACTGCCAAGTCAAATCTAGGGATTGCAGCGGCCAACTCCATCCCATGGACCGGGGGGCACACTGCTCCCCAGCCGCCAAGGATCATGTCTAGCTTTTTTTTTTTGGAGCGCAGTACGATCCTCAACGCGGATACACACAATAGCCCGCTTTCTGCAAGTTCAAGCTGCCTGAGGACACAAAGTCAGTTGCCGTTCGATCCATCTCGCTACCGAGCACAGAGAAAGATGCGTGTCATCGAGCAGCACCAACCCCGTCCATGTTGCCTCGACGAAAAGACATTCCGCAAGTAAGCGCCCCGGCTTTGGGTAAATTATCCAGGGTATCATCCGGCACTCGCCAGGGTTGCATTTGGCGGGGGTTGGCATGGGAAGACCAGAGGCTCGCAAAACTCGGGTCTCGCAAGCCTCGGATGCTACTCCATCGCCTCACTGTCAGCCGCTCTAGATGAGGTTATGCAATCTATTTGAGGTGCCGTCACTCCGCCGCATGACCAACCGGGACTCCGGGATTGAATATGCTTAGATGCCATCGCCTCGTGGCTAATACCGGAATCCCTCTGCGGCCCTGGCAAGGAGTGCATTCAGCCGCTGGTTCTGTGGCTTCTTCCCCGCGCCAAGAACGCTCTTCCCACGCTGGCCATGATTTGGTCACGCTCTAAATGGACTTGATATGGCATCCAGTCTAGTTCGGGCCACCACAGTTCAATTGAGAACCCCGCAACGGATTCAGGTCGCAACATCTTCCAGAAAGGGCATCTCAACGAAGCCCTACACTGTACTGTGGAGAATCGACAATTATCCGCCATGGCGAGCTGGTCCTTTCATCTCGAACCTGCTTGGTTCCGGGGAGCATTCTCGGCCATCAATCTTCCGTTAGTCTCAAATAAGTGTGCAGCAAATAGAACCACTTGACGGCCTATAAAGTTGCCGGCCCTGATAATTCAACGTAACTTTTCATCCCCTCGGCAGCCAAGCCTCACCCGTCTCAACTCAAGTCTGTCGTTCACATCAAGAAAAGCCCGTCATGAAGTTCTCCGCCTCCGTCGTCTGCCTCCTGGCGCCTCTCTCAGCCCTCGCCGCGCCCCTCGAGGAGCGCCAGGCGGCGCAGAGCATCGACGCCCTCATCAAGGCCAAGGGCAAGCAGTACTTTGGCACCTGCAGCGACCAGGGCCGTCTGACCTCGGGCAAGAACGCCGACATCATCAAGGCCAACTTCGGCCAGGTCACCCCCGAGAACTCGATGAAGTGGGACCAGATCGAGCCCAGCCAGGGCCAGTTCAACTGGGCCGGCGCCGACTACCTCGTCAACTTTGCCACGCAGAACAACAAGAAGATCCGCGGCCACACCCTCGTCTGGCACTCGCAGCTCGCGGGCTGGGTCAACAACGTCCGCGACCGCAATGCCCTGACCTCGGTCATTCAGAACCACATTAGCACCATCATGGGGCGATACAAGGGCAAGATCCTCCACTGGGTGCGTCCTCTCTCTAATATTCATACACACAAACTATCTTGGGCCTCACAAGTCAACTAATCATCATGGAACCTAGGACGTCGTCAACGAAATCTTCAACGAGGACGGCTCCCTCCGCTCCTCCGTCTTCTCCCAGGTCCTCGGCGAGGACTTCGTCGGCATCGCCTTCCGCGCCGCCCGCGCCGCCGACCCGGCCGCCAAGCTGTACATCAACGACTACAACCTCGACCAGGCCAGCTACGCCAAGACGCAGGCCATGGCGCGCAAGGTCAAGGAGTGGATCGCCCAGGGCATCCCCATCGACGGCATCGGCTCGCAGGCGCACCTGCAGGCGAACCAGGGCGCCAACGCCCTCGGCGCGCTGCAGACCCTCGCCGGCAGCGGCGTCAAGGAGGTCGCCATCACGGAGCTGGACATCGTCGGCGCCAGCGCGGCTGATTACTCGGCGGTGACCAAGGCGTGTTTGCAGGTTAGCCAGTGCGTTGGCATTACTGTGAGTTCTGCCCCTGCCTGGCCCCTTTCTTGTTCTCGAGGGGCCTGATATTGACAAATGTCTGATTTAGGTCTGGGGTGTGCGTGACCCCGACAGCTGGAGGGCGCAGAACAACCCGCTCTTGTTCGATGCCAACTTCAACCCCAAGCCTGCGTACACTGCGGTTGTTCAGGCCCTTCAGTAAATGGCCGTGGTGTTGTTTGCGGTGGTCGTGGGGAAAAGGGGGCGATGAGTGTTTTGTTCGTGTACATATTGGTCTTCTCCAGGCTATTCTGGACGTGAACATTAAGGTGATCCTGCTTTTGGTCAGGTCAGGACGTTTCTGCATATCAGTCGAGTCACATGTCCAACTTCGTCCGCCAGTGAACATGTCTCATGACTTGGATTTTGACCATCAGGGACAGACATTCCGTCCAGCATCTCTGCCTACTTAAACTAAGTGAGAAAAAGAAAATAGGTTCGAGATAGAACGCAGCTCCCTCTCGCGTGAACTGGCGCCTTCAAACCGCTGAAGTAAACACACCAATTGTAGCTCTTGTACCAAGCTTGTATTAAGGAAGTTTCAAGCCCACAGTAAAGTTAATGGCATCGCCCGCGTGATCCACGCTGCGAGTGCCAGAGATGGGTTCTCAAGGTCTTCAGCCACGGAAAAGCTTATTCTTGGCCACGTACATAAGACGCCGCTGCTCGCCAAGCCTCGAGCCCATTTCTCGTCCTCAATCCCATGTCAATATCACTACTTGTTCATACCAAGCTTATAGATCGTTCTCCTATCTTACAAACAACAATGTCGCTTCATAACACTTTTTCCCAAATTTCCTTCCGGTGGCCCGCGCCGATTAATATTAAAACTCCTCATAACCGTCCCCGATCCAGAACCACTTCGCAGCCGGTGTTCTGAGCCACTCGTCTCTCTCCTTCTTCTTTCGCTTCAATTCCTCTTTCCGGATCTTCTGCGGGCTATCCGTGCTATCCGAATCCCAATCGAGGTCACTCAGACCGTCCATGGGCCCGTCCATGTCCGAGTCCCAAAGCGAGTCCATATCGTCGTCAAACGCCCACTCAGAGAACGATTCATCCCAATCTTCGTCGGTCAGGTAGTCCTCAACTGGCAAGCCTCCCTTGCGCTCAACGCCCTTCCGGAAGTGCTCTACAAGGTACCCGTAATCCTCGAGTCTGCACTTGACGCCTGCGTTGAGGAGCTTCATGAAGCAGTACCGCACCGAATCCGCCTGCTCGCATTTATTCTCCGCCAACCGACTCGTCTCGATCACGTCCAGCGAAATCTCCCCGCGCATGCTGTAGCTGCACACCGGCCCGTGCGGGCAGGTGAAGTGGTCGAACAGCACCCTCTGCAGATTCGGGTACAGCCCGCGCCGGACCGCGTGGCCCAGCCACTTGAACTCCTTACCGTCCTCCTTCTCGATGAAGTTGGAGACGTGGAGCGCCTTGAGCGACGTCGGCAGCGTTCGCAGCGCGGACGTGGACCCCTTGCCCATGGCCTTGAGTGCGAACGTGACCTTCTCGAGCACTTCGAAATCGACCAGGGAGCCGATGAGGTTGCTCGTGTTGCGGGGGCCGATATGGTCGTCGCCGAGATCGAGTATCTTGAGAGTGCCCTTGTGTCGTTCCCGCAGGGCGTCAATGATGGCCTTGACGCTGATGCCGTGGATCTTGTCTTGGTCGTCGAACCTGAACTCGCGAAGCGCTTTACAGGACTTGATGATGGCCGCGAGCTGGGGCATGTGGATGTGTATCCCCGTCAGACCGAGCCTGCTGATGTTGCTCCAGTCGAACTTGTCGCCCATGTCGTTGACCCTCTGCAGGTGGACGGTGTTGAGATTGGGGGACAGACTGAAGAGACGATACACCTCGCCCAACGGGACCCTACGGGGCTCCCCGTTGAGGGAGAAGAAGCGGATGTACTGCAGGCTGTTGAGACGAATGTCCGTCTCTTCCGCCGAGGGAAACTGCCAGAAAAATGTTTCGGGGTGGCGGCAGCAGGCACTGGCCTGCACGTCGAGCAGCTGGAGGTTCGTCATCTGGAGCACGGCGAGAACCGCCATGAAGCGGGTGGCAGACGGGCTCGGGCGGGGCCAGCCGGCCGGGGGACGCATGTTTAGCCTCTTGGCCGTCCGGTTGCAGGCTTGTATAGCATCTGGTGTGAGAGGGCTCATCATGTCTTGGCTGGAGGCGGGCATGCAAAAGTAAACCGTCCTCACCATGGAAGCGACCTCCGGGCTCTGGTCCATGATGATGAGCAGCTGCGCGATCTTGTCATTGTCGAGTTCGAGATGGGACCGTTCCCTGTTGAAGTCAATGTAAATGTCGGTGAAGAAGGACCGCCTCCCGAGGTGCCAGAGCTGGGGACACAGCGACGCCAGCGTGGTTGATGCGCGCTTCGCGGAGCCTGGGAGCTTGAGGAGCGGCTTCTCGATGTGAGCCCCGCGCGAGTGCAGGGGTGCCGTCAGCAGCATGAAGATGTGCTGGATGATTTCCGGCGGGAGGTCCAAGAGGTTCGCCATGGTGGGCTGCTAGCAACGGGACTGGCACGTAGGGATTGATGGAGTGAGGAGCACGTGGTGGATAAGATGGAGCGTTCACGATGCATGCAAGCTGAGGTCGTCGCCGGAAAGGGGGCGAGGGAATGAACTCGTCTCTACCTTACTGCTCCCAAAGCTAATTAACGCGTGTCAACCGGTGCCGGCCCGACGCGAGACGCGATGGATCCACCTTTGGCACTTAAACCCTTTGCAACGCATCGTATGCATCTATCGCGAATAGAGCGCGGAGTAGAGTGTTCGTCTCATGTCTTCATTAAACTTTTGCTTTTTACAACCTGCAGTTTGGCAAACTGTTAATATTTGTCGAACATGAGACAAGGCTGAGTGCACAAACATGATCTTGAGGGGATTCGCCCCGATCATTCCAAATGCGAAGCCCAACAATACGACCCCGCTTTCTCTATTTATCCTCTCGGCCTCATCAATGACGTCTCGACGTTCCCGTTGAACATATTGCTGTTCATCAGGAAGAGAGGAGATGGGCGTTGCAAATATGTGCCGGCTGCAATGTGAGCAAAATGAGAGGGGGTTTCGACGTCATTCCCGCGCTTTCAAAAGCGTCAAGCTTCGGCAATGAGGAATACGAGATTCCAGTAGCCGCACATCGCTCCGAATACCGACTACCAGCCAGCCTAGTACGGCTTCGCTTAAGCGCTTGAAAGAGGTCTTGACATTGCATCGAGGAAACACCGACTTTATCTGCCTTTGGTGCGTGCCTGATCCATTGGTCAATGGTCGGTCTACAGCAACGTTGCACCCATCCCCGGCTTTCGGCTCCGGCGCCAAGCAGTTGGCTCGGGGAATTCTTCGCTGGGCATGCGAGCTGTTGGTGAAAGATTTTCAGGCACTCACTCAGACACTGCCACGTTTGCCACGCTGTGAGTTCTGTCAATTCATTGTGAAAGTGAAAGACGGCGGGGTAATACTCTTTTGTTTGTCTCCGGGGTCCCCAAAAGCTTGCTATTCTTGGAAACAGTCACGGGCAATTAGTGCGAACAGTCAAAACTGACTCGACTAGTAGGGAAACCGAAGGCTGGGCCGGTAGCCTCCGGTCGCCTGCGTGGAGCCGGGAGGTTGGCCGGGCGGCGGGTACCCGACTGATCGGCCGCTTGAAAGCAATCGCCTAGCCCAACATTGGCTAAGACTCTCAGGGCCTCGCTGGGGCTGATTGGCACGCTTCTTTTTAGTGTCCCGACTTGGCAAGCCTTGACTATTTCCAGCGTGTTTCTGACGTCAAGCAGAACTGTGTTCGGAACCGTCAGCTCATTTAGGGTTGAGTCGAGGTCGAGTTTCCCATCACAGACATTGTCAACAGACAACAGACAACTCAATGGCAGCGGCCCAACACTCCGTTCCAACCCTGCCACATTTATGGGTCTCCCCACACGCTAGAACAACCATGAGATCATGGGAATCGTGGGCCCATTGACCTGTCAACTTTGTTCGGGTCACTTGCCGAAGCCAATGCCTGCGGCAAACGCTGAATACGAGAGGCTAGAGAGTTTTCCACCGACTCGACCCCACAAGGCATGGAAACAAGGTGAGGCGAACACGAGATGGTGAGGTTTTTCAGCTAAGCTTCTTCAGACTTTTGAGACCTCATGATATGTGAATCATTTGGTATATAAGCTATTGCGTGCTCCTGCTCTAGTCCTTCTATTCTCATCATCACTCTCATCTTCAGCCTCAAGCTTCACTTACAAAGCCTTAATCAACTACCTCCTCCACCTTCACCTTACTCTCACCAACTCCTACACAAGATGTACAACAAGCTCATCATCGCCTTGGCCATGGCCTCGGCTGTCTCTGCTGCTCCCGCCCTCGCGCCTCGCCAGGACCCTTGCCAGGACGCCTACAAGGTTTGCATCGCCGCTGGAACACCAGAGGTCGCCTGCTCTTGCACCCTCACTGCTTGTGTCGGTGAGGACAACGCCCGCAACCGCGAGTACTGTGCTACCGCTACGGCCAACCTGCCCAAGCCCACTTCCACCGGCATCCCCGGCGGCTGCAACCCGGCCCACCCCGGCTCGTGCCCCTCGTCTTACTTCACCTACCCTACCGCCTCGGCCAGTGCGGCTCCGTCCTTCACCTCTATCCCGGGCATCCCCGGAGGTTGCAACCCGGCCCACCCCGGCTCCTGCCCCTCCTCCTACTTTACCTACCCTACTGCTTCGGCCAGCGCGGCGCCAACCTTCACGCCGATCCCGGGCATCCCCGGCGGCTGCAACCCGGCTCATCCTGGCTCTTGCCCCTCTTCCTACTTCACCTACCCCACCGTCTCTGCCACTGCTGCTCCTGCTCCCACCGGCGGCAGCTCTTCTGGCTACACCGATCCCAAGCCTGTTGAGGGCAAGACCTGGACGATCAAGGACCTGACCCGCTACTGCGGCGAGGACAACTCCGGCTGCGACTACAACTTCAAGATCGAGGCTGACGGCGTCACCGAGGCCTGCACCGTCATTCGCATGCCTGGCTCCAACGCTGCCACCGAGAGCTGGTCCAACCAGCCCTGCACCTCCGGCTCCAAGTACCAGATCTCTTGGGGCTACGTTGCCGAGCCCGCCCCCGCCTTCGCTGTCCTCAGCGTCGTCGACGGCAAGGAGATTGCCTGGTTCGGTGT